ATTCCAACCTTACATTGCCCAAATTCTAAGTTAGTATTAGGTAAGTGAATTAAAAAGCTCCCAATTTTAATTTTCCTTAATGAAAAGGAAAATTAAATTCCTTAATGTTAAGGGAATGATTTTCTTTATTAGCAGTGGTTGTTTGCAACCAATAAGTGATACTTGAAGAACACGACCAGAGATTTTACTGAGCGAATGTTGGCCATGGGTGAAGCCAATACAGGTATACCTCTTTTTATTGCACTTTGCAGAGACCTTCTGTCAAAAAGATTACGACTTGTTGAATGAAGGCTCAGGCAATGGTTAGCATTTTTTAGCAATTAAGAATTTTTAAATTAAGGTGTATATATTTATGTATATATATATATATATATATTTAGATATTAAGGTATTATACACTTAATAGACTACAATATAGCACAAATTTTAAATGCACTGAAAAGACAAAATTCATGTGACTTGCTTTATTGTGATACTCACTTTATTGTGATGGTGTGGAACCAAGCCTGCAATATCTATGAGGTATGCTAGTCATCTATTCCTTCTCCTTAAAAACATTTTTTCAAAACTATTAAATATAATTTTTAAAATTAATTCAATAAATTTTCAGCAAGTGCCATCACTGTGCTAGGCACCATGCTTGGCTTTGCATGGACTACAAATGATTGAGAAGGCTTGCCCTCTAGAACTCAAAGTGACTATACCAGGGAAAAGTGTGTGTAAGATAAATGCAATGTGTAAAAGCTATCTATACATTACTTGCTCATTTTTGTTTTACGCTAATCTACTATTAAATTAGTTAGAGCATCTCAAAGATTATGAATCACAATTTCCAAGGAAGGCAGACAACTCACCTGTGATCTTGACATGGGCAAACCCAGCCCTACGGTATTAGTGCTCATCATAGAGAAATTCATACTCTGAGAAGATGTCATGGTTGCCTGGGATGAGCCCATAAAATCAAATAGATCTGAAGAATTTGAGGCAGCTGGAGATGGACCTAAAGCTGGTTGTGAGCCACTGACAAGTTCTACAGCTGGCTGTGAGGCATTGCCAAAGAGCTCACCACTGGAAGCAACAGGGCCTGATGGGGCTTGGTTGAAGGCACTCCAATCACCAAACTCTCCATTCCCACTTGTAGTTACTGAGAAAGAGAGAACGATAAGGGTAAGAAACTTTCTGAAGTGCACAGTACAAATATAACAATCTATAAACTGAAACAAATTAGAGATGATCTGTGTTCATCCAAATTAACATCTTCAGGTACCACCTCCATCTGGACATTATTCTTTCTCATGAATGTCCATGAGTGTTAACAAGGTAACAAAAAGAGAAAACTCCTATAAAGTAAAATCTATCTCTTAGCAGGTCAGTGATGACACATCTATATATATATAAGCCTAAGTGACCGTTTGACCATTCGACTGTTAGCTATGATGCGCACTGACCACTAGGGGGCAGATGTTCAATGCACAGGTATGGAAACAGAACAGACTGGCAAATCTCAGAGGGAAGTGGGGAGAGCGGGAAGAGATTAACCAAAGATCTTATATGCATAGTAGAGGCCCGGTGCACAAATTTGTGCACCATTGGGGTCCCTCAGCTTGGCTTGTGGGGATTGAGCTGAAACCGGGAGTCTGACATCCCCCGAGGGGTCCTGGGTTGCGAGAGGGTGCAGGCCAGGCCAAGGGACCCCACCGGTGCACAGGGCCTCTAGTAGAAAGTATAGTCACAACTTCCCTTCCACCTGAGTTTGCAATATTAAATATGGTTTCAGCTAAACAAAAATGAACTAGCCTGAGGCCCTAAAATGCAAGAAAAACCTGTAAACTGGCTAAACTTTTTGCTGGGAGATCCAGAATCTTTATGCAAAGAGACACTCATTTCATTAATTCATTATTTTAAAAAGTTCAAAGAAAAATCAAACTACAATTTATACCATCTCATGTAAATAAAACCCAAATTCATGAGATTAAATTTATGAGACAAAAGCAAAAAAGCATGGAGAGAAAAAAATAAAATTAAGAGTAGGATTAGTAAATTTCTGTAAGAAGTTCTCACCCAGCTATGCTCCACTGATAATACAAGGGCTGTAGGTAGCCATAATATATGTATCACCTCAGTACACTGCTTGCTTTAAATAGAACTGTAAAATCTATTTATTTAAATAAAGTGTGGCTATTGTCTTCAGAGGGAAACTCATGCTAATATTTTAAAAAGAAAGGTAACTGTCACTACACTTCAAAGTATAACTACAAGTTTAAGATTTAATGCATTCAATAATATAAAACTTTGTAAATTAAAAGACTGGTGTTTAAAAATATGGATTTTGTATCTTACTAGTTGTGAAACCCTGAGCCAAGCTACTTAAACCTCTCTGTGCCTCACTTAAACACAACCCTAAGTTGTGAAGATTAAGAGATTTGTTATATTTACTTTGGATTAATTGTGAAAAGACAGGGATGAGCTAAGATATCATACTCTTTCCTTCAGGTATGCCATATAAAAGTGTAAATCAAGATTTATAAATTCTTCATAATATTAACTATTTTGAACACAGTGAATATAAAAACAAGCAATACTTTAAAAAGTTTTCAACCAGGTTACACCAACGTCTAAGTAAATAAATCTTTCTTTAAGAAAGGGACAAATAGATAAATATGAATTCATGGAAGTTGAAAAAGCAAAGTGAAGAAAGCTAAAAACAAAACAGAACCCAGAATCAACCAATGAATGCATCAATAAATGGAATAACAAATTTAAAAAAGTGACATATAAACTGTCATCTGAAAGCAAATAGTTTGTATTTCTAAATTAATTAACATCATCTCTTTGTACTCCATGTTCACTTACAACTTGGAAATACATTGTTTAGGTGAAAAGGTAACCCAATCACTGCAATACTGTGTCCTATTATGCTAAATATCAAGAG